CTATCTATCTATCTATCTATCTATCTATCTATCTATCTATCTATCTATCTATCTATCTATCTATCTATCTATCTACCTATCTATCTATCTATCTATCTATCTATCTATCTATCTATCTATCTATCTATCTGTGTGTAAAAACATTCTACTAAAAAAGACGGGATTATATTACTTATGAAATTGTTCAAGAGTTATTATAGCTGTGACATCACGATTTAATTTAATTAAATTTAGAGTTAACTGCAGAGGTGGGTAGAGTATCCAAATCTATACTCAAGTAAAAGTACAAGTACTTACGGAAATTTTTACTCAACTAAAAGTAACAATCTTAAAAGTTACTCGAGTAAAAGTAAAAAAGTATCTGATGAAAAAAGTACTCACATAAATAGTTACTAGTTACTTTATATATACACACACATACATATATATATATATATATATATATATTCAGCCATCATTCCAACATAGGCGCATGCTCTCTAACCGAAAGCGGAAGCCGCATCTCTTTAGCAACCTCACAACCTCTCCAATGCAGTGCCTCGCAATATTTGCAATCATGTCATATGATCATTTGATCATATTTATCATCATTTGACAGTAACGGAGTTGCTGATTTTTCTCTAATAATTTACTTGAGTAAGAGTTAAAGTACACATATTTAAATGTACTCAAAAAGTACACGTTACCCAACAACTTCATTCCTTCATTCATTTTCTTGTCGGCTTAGTCCCTTTACTAATCCGGGGTCGCCACAAACTTATCCAGCAAGTTTTTACGCAGTGGATGCCCTTACAGCCGCAGCCCATCTCTGGGAAACACACACACACACTACGGACAATTTAGCCTACCCAATTCACCTGTACCGCATGTCTTTGGACTGTGGGGGAAACCGGAGCACCCGGAGGAAACCCACGCGAAAGCAGGGAGAACATGCAAACTCCACACAGAAACGCCAACTGAGCCGAGGTTCGAACCAGCGACCCAGCGACCTTCTTGCTGTGAGGCGAACGTGCTACCCACTACGCCACTGCCTCGCCCCCAACAACTTTACTCAAGTAAATGTAACGAAGTAAATGTAACTCATTCATTCATTCATTTTCTTGTCAGCTTAGTCCCTTTATTAATCCGGGGTCGCCACATCGGAATGAACCACCAACTTATCCAGCACATTTCATTTATCCGCCAGGAGAGAGAGAGAGAGCTGTGTGCTGATGTTGGAATTTAAAGCAGACTCCTCCTTCATTGGGACACAATGATCCTGCGTCTGATAGTGTTCATTCAGCAGATGCCCTTCCAGCTGCAACCCATCTCTGGGAAACGTAAATGTAACTCATTACTACACAATTTTGGTTAACTGTGAGTGGGTGTTTTTGATTTATTTATTTGTTCTATATAGTGTTAATGAATATGTGTCTGTATTTTCATTCATCGAGATATGTAAATATAGTATAATATTTTTAATTCAAAATTCATTTCAAGCTGTGTGCTGACTTTCTATTTCCAGTTTCACTTTAATTTTATGGTGCATCTAGTAGTACATTTTTCTCTCCTCCGGTCTACTATCCACTTATTATAATGAAGCAGAGGGCTTTAATTCGTGATTTTCTATTCCAGTCTAGTTTTAGTTTGTTTTAATGATGAACAAAGCCTTAATATAAGTTTTGTGTAATAAAAAAATGACTGTCAATATTTTATTATTGAAGATATTTGCTAATAATATTTACAATATACTTTTGTTCTACTTCAGTCACTGCACTAGTCATTTTTTACACGTGAATCTGAGAAACACAAGAGAACACTAAAAAAATAGCACATAATAACAGCTCTCTGATTATCTGCTGTGTCTATGCGCTATTCATTTCTATATTGATCCAAAATCCTCCATCTAACACTGCGTCTCTCTCACATCTGATTTTATTCAGGCTGAAGGAAAGGAAATGGAGTAGGTGGGGTTAAAGCAGTGAGGTCACAGATAGGAGGTGCAGGTTCAGCTGGAGGTTCAGGTTTTCCTCTCTGTTCTCGTGCTGGAGGGGAGGATTGCAAAGGACTCAAGAATCCAATATCAACAGCGGACACAGTTCATCCACCTAACCATCCATCACCAAACGCTGCATCATTTACGCCAGGAGAGAGAGAGAGCTGTGTGCTGATATTGGAATTTAAAGGTGACTCCTTCCTCATCGGGACACAATGATCCTGCGTCTGATAGTGTTCAGGTTAAATTCACATCATCGGATTGCTCTCAGACCTCACCTGAGGCTGGATTTACAATAGATTCTGAAGAATAATATTCATTTTAATTTCAACCTGCTTTTTAGGAAACAACTTAAAAAAATTAACTACTTTTTTCCTAAGAAAAAGAAAATGTTCAACATCTAAAACAAACTACATTCTCAAAAAGCATTTACGGTTACAACATACTGCAAATATTACTATTACTGGAATGTGAAAGAATGAGAATTACGGAATGTGAAGTCCAGGTTTGTGAGCAAGAACCACCATGAAATCAGATAATTATTAACACTCATTAACATCATTTTCTTCTAAGCCTTTTTACATTCTTACAAATCAAACTTCTTCATATAAATATCTATACAACAGTTCTGTCTGGTTCTCGAATCTGATTGGCTGATAGCAGTGCTATATTCTGCAGTCACAGCACATGTACAGCCTCTTCACCCTTTTGTATTACTCCACTTCCACATGGAGTGACGGCAGATGAATAAATTCACTACGGTTTGACAAATATTGCAGCTGTTGGACAATAATATGTACTTTGGAGGTTTTTTTAGGAGAGAGTGTAGTTGTTTAGATTGCAACTATGCAGTTTATTTATAAGGAGAGTGCCTATTTTTAATATTTATCATTTCAGAGATCTAGCACATTAATGACCATCAGCCTGTCATTGAGCAGAGCAATTGACGACGATTGACGTTCCGCCGCAAGATAGCGACAGAGACCGCACAATAAATCCGAAAAAGAAAAAAAAAAACAGCGTAAATTTTAAAGTACAGCTGAACAAATCATTATAAAACACACAAGTAAGTCAATTTCTTTCTTTTGTATGTTGTAGTGCTGTATTTATATCTCAGTAATCTGCTAATGCTTGCTGTACTTTGGCATTTTCAAGGTTAATTATTGTTATATCCCGATTAAAACAGAGAAATATTGAGAAATCTCAGCCTTATAATCTTAAAATGTGAGCTTAAAATCCCCTTTTTTTGTCATCGCTCTATATATTACACTAGAGAATCATTCAAATACTATCCTAAAGAGATGTTGGTCAATGAGCAATGGTTTCTGCAGTTCTGAAGTCAGCTGCAGATGTGAATGAACAACGGGAGAAAGTAGTTCCTCATACAAAAGGATTTTTGAGACTCTTCGTATTTGTACGAAGTATTCACAATTATGCTGTCGAACTGTTGTATAAACACAATATTACACTCGTAGCTGTGTGATATGGCCGTATATTGTCACTGGTGGGACATTAAGACACTTGGCCAACATATATATATATATATATAAATATATA